ACTCTTGAGGTAAACGGCAGGCGAACCCCCGGCGGGGCGAGGAGGTGTCCTCGAGGGCCGGGCGGGGAGGCCGGGCTGTCCTCTCGGCCGGGCGAGCGGGCTGGGAAGCGAGACGGAGCTCCCCCAAGGTCACCGGTCGAGCGCCGGCAGGGTCCCGGCGTCGCGGAGGCCGAGGCCGCCCCACTGGCTCAGGTACCCGGCCTCCCAAACTGGAAGAGAGGCCGGGGAGCCCTGCAACTCACTTTTCTCCCCAGCGCTGGCCTGGTATCCCGGGTCCACCTCGCTGTCCCTGCCCGGGGTAACGCGGGGTCCCCGTCCCTGCCCGCCTTCGGGGGGACGTGGGGTCCCTAGTCCTTGTACCTGCTCCCCCAGTGGGGTCCCCGGGCTTCCTCTTTGTGGAAGCCGCGGACAACCCGAGAGTCCCAAAGCCCCCTATACGGGGGGTGGGGCGCGCCTGAAGGGGGCCTCCCCCAGGGCCCCCTGGATCCCCAGCAGTGAATTGACTGTCCAAGGCCTCAGGGCCAGGGGCGCGGGTTAGGGAGGGTCTTAGCTGGAAGGGCCCCGTCCGCCGAGGTGAGAGCTGGTGCAGCTGAGGCAACCGCCTGACCTGGGCCACGTCAGCCCCGCAGTGCAGCTGGCTCAGCCGGTTCAGTTCTGCGCCCTTTGCAGGCTCCCGTGGTCCCAGTCAGTCTGCGCCCGGGTGGCGGGCCGTGGAGCGGGCTGCAAGCGGGAGGGGCTGGCAGGGCTGGGACAGCCCGCTCTGTGGGGGTGGCTCTGAAGGCTGGGGTGGTAGAGATGGGGAAGAAGGGGGTGAATGGACTGGCTGGTGGGGTGCTGGGGGGGGGAGGGAGGAACCAGGGTGACGCTGACTTCTGATCCAGATAGCTGAGTGTATGACGGTTTAGGAAAAGAGGAAGGTGGGGTGACCGAAGTCAGGGGTGAAGACAAGAGTGGGGCGTTGGAGCTGTTGGGTTTGGCTGGCTGAGATGCTCAGCACTGGGTCCTGGGGGACTGGAGACCGGTTTGGGATTATGGTCATGGCACACTTCTGCAGTGGCATTACCTGTGAGGCCTTGGGACAGTGTGTCAGCAGATTCTTTACTCTGGGGCCTAGGTCTTTTCTGGCCATGTTAGTGGGGAGGGGTCTCTATCCTCTTGGCGTCAGTGGAATCACCTGCGATTGATCAGGGGTCTTTGTGACCCGGAAATTGACGTTCAGACCTGCATCTTACTGTTTTCTGGGCCCCTAGGGTGTTGGCCGCCTGCTGAGAGAACGGCAGATCGAGGTGCAGCCCTCTCCCTGCAAGGAGTGCACCTGCTCTCCTTCCTGACCTCTCTCCAACAGGAACCTCTCCACGCCGGCTGAGGTGAGGGCTCAGGCTGCGGCTTGCACGTTTGTTACCCACTTCCAGTTCCCTAAATTATGGGTTTAAAGGCGTGCCTCGTGTCCACTCACGCAGCTTAATCTTTGTGGGACAGGTACAGGTATGGCAGGAAAGGGCCACGTGGTTCCCTCGCGTCTCTGGCCAGTGCTCAGAAGAGCTGCCTTCTTCACTGAGCCTGCAGGGGTTAGGGTGTTCCCTGTACACCCAGAGATGCAGCCGGGCATGGCGTAGGCTGAGAAATCGTTTCCTCAGACACTTCATGCGTCAGGTTCTTGCTGGTAACTCTGGAAGCTGCTGCTGTCTCTGGCTTCTGTGCAGCTGTCATGTGAGTGGGGGCACTTCCTGTGAGCGTGCCTGCGGGGACAGCCCCACCATGAAGTGACCCCTAGGTGCCTCCACTGCGATTGTTGGAGGGCAGTGCCTCAGCTCCAACTTCACTTGAGACTCACCTGAAGCTTTTTTTTATAACCAGGGATACCTGGGTTCCTCCCTCTCCCCTCACTAGCATTTCTTACCTCATTGGCCTGACATCTTACAAGCTTCGGGTAATTCTAGTGGGCAGCCAGTGCTAAGACGTCTCTACAGCCTTGGCTGTTATTTTCTGTCCTCTCAGGGAGGGTGGTGTTGAGATATGGGCTTTTGGTATTTAAAGACCCGAATCCTCTCGGATAGCTGATCTCCAGCAGGCACCCCTCTCTGATAGTGCATGTGGGGGGAGTGGATACCTTCACAGGGTCACAAATACTCCCTATCACCCACCCCAGATGACAGCCAGGCCCCTGTTCCCAGGCAGGGAGGGTCAGCATCGGCACCTTGACACAGGTGGAAGGAGGTGTCTTGAAACTCCAGGATAGGGAGACCCATTCACCCCTCTGTTGGCCTGCCCCTCTAGGTCAGTCGGGTGCCTGATGCTGATGGGGACTACCAGGGGCCTTAGGCCTGTTCCAGTCTGCAGCCTCTCCCCTCCCCTGCACCCACTTAACTCTCCAGGTGGGCTTATGCTGCCGCCTTGGCGGGCGTGCCCTCCCTCTAACACCTGCAGGGCTCCGTGCAGGCAGCCCTGCCCTTGGAGTCCTTGCTGACCTCCCACCCCAGCACACCTCTGTTAGTGTCTGGGAGCACACCTGAGCTGCGGGGCACACCGAGCACACCTGTTGGTGTGTATGAGGCCCCTGAGCACACCTGTTAGTGTATGCCCTGTTTTATGGTGTTGCAGCCAAGCTATGCTTGTGTGTGCTTTCTGCCGCCTGAGAGAACCTTCAGGTTAGGGAGTGTGTGGGCCTGGGATGGCACCCGGTGGGCTTTAGGAGCTGTGGCTGAATGCCTGTTAGGTGCAGAGGAAGGATGGGAAGCTGTGTATACACTCATTGAGCAGTGTGCATGATGTGGCAGGGAATGCTTGCAGCCGTCCCCCGGCCTGTGCCAGCTTCCTCATTTCCTTCCCAAGGGTCTCCTGTGCTTATGCTAGTCTGCATCACAGCAGGGTCGGGGGTGGGGCGTGGGAGCCAGCCTGGTGAGTCCTGCCCACCACTGACTAGCCGCTAGCCAGTTGCTAACTGGTGTGTCGTTCCGGCCACGTGAGGATTAAGCTCGATGGTGTCTGTATGCTGTCTGTAAGGGGTCTGGTATGTGCTGGGCATGGTCTGAACCGTGCAGTGAGCATTTCTGCAGGAGATGGGAACCGTTCTCTGCTCCCACACCGTCCATCTCCTTCAGAACGCTCCTCTTGGCTCATGGTCAGCAGTGTGCTCATGGGCTGTGCTGTCCCTGTCCGCGGTGCCATGACTGTTGGCACACACTGCCTGGTGGCTAGGGCAGCTGCGGCACCAGCTGCACATACGCTACTTTTCCATGACATGATGGGAGGCTCCACTATTCCTCTGTGGTAGTACCCACCCACCCACCTACCTACCTACCTACCTACCTGCTTCCCCTGGTTTTTTAAAAACCATACCCCATGGGCATCGTGCCTTCTCCAACACTCACATACATGCGTCTCTGTGCACTCATGTAAGCAGACGGGATGCAGAGACGGAAGTATCCTCTCTGACAGGCTGGCCATCCTGGCTTGTGGTGGACAATGCTGGGCTGCCTCCCATGAGGCCCTGCCAGCTCTGCTTGCACTGCAGCACCAAGGCTGCCCCGTGGTCCCCAGAATGGTGACCACAGCGCTGTGACGTCCAGTGCTTGCTGACCACCTGCCTTGTGTTGGGCCTGTTATCACCAGGTACAGGTGATGGTGCTGGGACAGTTACACAGTGTGCAGCGCACAGGGAGCTCCCGGACGTCTGGCCCTGGGCTGCCCTCAGCTGACCACGCCCAGCTCTGGAGAGGCAAGCAGACCTCGTCCTGACAGGTGTTTGGTACTTTTCTCACGTGCCTGTTGGCTGTTTCTTCTGAGGATTAATTGCCTGTACGTGTCTTCGGCCCATTTTTCTGTTTATCTTATTGATGTAGTAGACCAGCTCCTTCGCATGTTAATATTTGAGAAGTTTGCCTTTTGTCCTGCGTATTATGAGTGGTCTCTTATGGTTTGTCCTTTATAGTCTCTGTGTAGGGATGTGGGGGGGTGGGGGACATGGGGGTGTGTGTATGGGTTTTTTTTTCAATATATCTTTTGACATTCAGAAATTTGAAATTTTCATGTAGTTGAACTGAACAATGCTCATTTTGGTTTCTGGATTTTTGTGTCCAGCTTAGAAAATCTTTTCTTACTCCAAGACTATTAAATATTTATCTGTATTTTCAAGTAGGATTTTTAGTTTCAGTTTTACATTTGACTCTTATATCCGTCTAGAATTTATTTTGGGATGAGGAGAGATGTAAGGAAGAAAAATTTTCTCCTAAGTGCCTAGCTAGCTGTTTCAACACTATTTACTGATCTGTCTGACTTTATGATTTAAAATCCCACCTTTCTCATATAATATACTTTTTTTCTTCTTGCTATTTATTTTTGGACTTTCTATCCTGTTTTGTGTACTTGAGTTTGTAGCAATATCATAGTTTTAATGATTGTAGCTTTTAAATACATTTTGTTGTTGTTAGGTGCCATCGAGTTGATTCCTACTCATAGTGACCCTATGTACAACAGAATGAAACACTGCCCAGTTCTGCACCGTCCTCATGATCGTTGTTATGCTTGAGTCCGTTGTCGCAGCCACTGTGTCCATCTTGTTGAGGATCTTCCTCTTTTTCCCTGACCCTCTACTTTACCAAACACGATGTCGTTCTCCAGAGACTAATCCCTCCTGATAACACGTCCAAAATATGTGAGAGATAGTCTCACCATCCTTGCTTTTAAGGAACATTCTGTTTGTGCTTCTTCCAAAACAGATTTGTTTGTTTTTTTGGCAGTCCGTGGTATATTCAGTGTTCTTCGCCAATACCACAATTTCAGAGGTGTCCATTCTTCGATCTTCCTTATTCATTGTCCAGCTTTCGCGTGCATATGCACATGAGGCAGTTGAAAACACCATGGCTTGGGTCAGGCCCGAGTCTTAGTCTTCAAAGTGACGTCTTTGCTTTTCAACACTTTAAAGAGGTCTTTTGCAGCAGATTTCCCCAGTGCAATGCGTCTTTTGATTTCTTGATTGCTGCTTCAATGAGTGTTGATTGTGGATTCAAGTAAAATGAAATCCTGGACAACTTCTGTCTTTT